GTAGGGACATAGCAGAGGAGCCAATGTCTGACAGTACTTCCTTGCTGCTCTGGTCAGCCTGCTGTAGCCCTGCATGGCCCACAGCATGGCAACACAGCCTATGGCATGACCATAGCCTATGGCTAACCAACGTGGCAGTTTTGTCCATTTTAGTGACAGCTCTGGTTGGCCAATGTCTCTCAAACTACCCCTCCTTCCTGATTCACCCACACCTCCTTTTTTTGTACTGTTCACACTCCTCTTCGGTGCACTGCCCAAACTCTCCCTTCCATACTAGCTAAAGCCACAAGTTCCACAATGCAGCAAGCTTGGAACCAGCAGGAGCTAGAAATATCCAATATGCCTGCAGGTGTCCTGATGATGGCCTTTAACTCATTATAATGTCACTAACAATAAAATTGCCATGGCTGACAATCCCATTCTCATCACCCACTTCAAGCCATGAAACTCCCAAGATTTCCTAGAAAGGACACAGAAAAGAGCAGTTACTCAAGCCTCACCACTAACCCACCCTCTTTGAATATTTAATTAAGCTCTACCTCAGACACCACCCCTTATGCCTCCAGATAGTATAAAAGACAAGTTCTGTGCCTTGTTGATTGCACCTCATGCTCTTTGAAGCTTGCCTGCATTTATTCCTTGAGTGGGTACTTTTCCTTTACTTGAAATAAATCTTGCTTTTCTGCTCACCTTTATCCATGTCTCTTCCTTGAATTTTTTCACACATGGAAACAAGAACCTGGACCAAGTCTAGCCTGGGACCACTCCATAACACTTGCGAAATTGTCCAGTAGTCACTGCATGACTGCTTGTCTTATTTTCTCTGAACAGGCTGTGTGTTATTTAGCATTGCAGACAGGTTTTCTATTTTTTTATGTATGTTCCTTTAATTTTGAGATAAAACAGCTTCATTTCAATCATAGATATCTCTTCTACTGAGTAGAAGAAAAATAAAATTCCAAATCACAAAACTCTGGAATTTAATGGCGCTTTACCCTGTCAGTCTGGTTTTACCAAGTACATTAGGGAAATGGCCAACAAACATTTCAGCATACAGAGGGCCTTTTCCCAGTGATATTTTTTCCAGAATTCTAATATATCTGAGAGATGCCTCTATCATTATTTCACTAATAATCATTGTCATAGTGAAGTGTTGTTATTGATGGGGCATCTACTGTCATTCAGAGTGACTAGAGCAGGAAAAATGTTAAGAACCACTATTCTATGACAGCCTTTGAAAAAACTGTCTTTACAATTAAGCTTTCTTAGAAAATGTTAATAACTTATTAAAAGGATGTTGCATAAATCATGGCAGCTTGGGATCAAATGAATGTCTGTTCAGGACTATAAATCAAGGAACCCAACTAATAATGATTTCATAGATTATAACAATAATGGTTTGGTTTTGTCAAAGTTTGGAATAAATGTTTCCTATAGTCACATACAAATTGAGACTGAACCAATAATAAGTCAATTTGCTCCACGTGATTCCTCCAGATATAAAACTAGCCCCTTTTATAAATAAGAATTATTATTATCTTGTATAGGATTTAATACAGTTAATGCTTTATATAAGAATCAAATGGACATTATAATGTCAAAAGGTTTCTATTAGAAAACAGCTCCTAAGTTCTTTCAGACGTACTCCTATCTCATGAAATCCTCAAAAAGTCATCAACAGTGTGTTAATACCTTCCTTTCTTTTATAAATGAGACTAAGGATGAATGAGTTTAACTAAATAGCCAAAGTTATACAGTAGTAAGTGCAAGACTAGAATCCAATATTTAAGTCTCTTTAAGTCCATACTCAAGCACATATTTCACAAGTACTTATACAGCATTTAGAATTAGATAACATACAGAGTTAGATACAGGCCTTTGCTTTATAATTTTCATTTTAAAATGAGACCAAAGTCTAAATTAAGATGAATGGTAACTTTTAGAAAAGAGATTATGAATTATTATTTCATTTTTCATCTATTAGCTTCCATACATAAACTTAAGCCAAAGATCCTTACTGAGCATCACAAGTGAAAGGACTGGTAATCAATGATGGTTGAGATGTGTTTTACTTTTTGTTATTAAAATTTTTATTGGCATCATACTTCTGCTTTCTTCCAAGTAAAGGGGTAGTTGAGGAGAAATATTTCTCACAGCAATTATTAAAAATCCCCAAGTTGGAGTTTCATCATTCTTTAGTGAATGGATCTATTGTCTTGTTCACCAGAAGAGTTACCATCATAATGGTCCAGGACATCTTAGATTTCTGAATTCATTTAAAATTATGTAACCTAGTTATAGGGTTTTATCATCTGTTTTGAGGTTTACTTTTCATGTAGGCTATTGAAATTTCTATTGAAATAGCGGTCTGTGGGCCCTTTATCAATTGCAGAACTGACTCCAAGGCACAGGGGAGGGGAGGAAAAAAAAAAAACCTCAACTGTTCCATTCAAAGCCTGTCTCTGTCCCTGCACTGTGAACCAGGAGGATATTAACCATTGCTGAGATAGTCCACAATGGGGACAGTGCTGCAATCCTTCATAGCTGGCAGAAAATAGCCCAAAAAATCAGCACAACTCTGCACTCCCACATACAGCAGCTGTTCTCAAGTCTTGCACTTGGAAAAATGAAGAACTACACTCCCTGACCACATTGACCAGTGCTTTGAATCTTCCAGTTTTGTTGTTCTTTCCTTTTGTCCTGAAAGAGACTTTGTCAAATCAGAATGAAAAGAATGCTTGAAGCGTGAGAAAATTCAAATTTCCTATTTAAAGCCTGGAGTTCATTAGCAGTAATATATACTCACTCATTTCAGGGGTCACTGGGTTACACAGAAGAGCCTGTCTCTGCTATCCAAGTCTCAAACCCTTCACCTGAAAGTGGTTAGAAATGTCCTGAGTCTATTAGCTCTCTGTGGTGTCTAATCCATCTTCACCGTGCTTTGTCTTGTGACCCTGTCAAGTCAAGGGCCCTGCTTTGATTATATGCTATCCCTCTTTTCTTGATCACTTTTCAGTTAAGTAATTGTCTCAGTTTAATTGGTTGTAACAATTAAAACTTTTATTTACATTACACTGCAATTTTATCCATCACATTTAGGTTGGCTGTTTTATTACTTACGACTCAATATAGAAATTTTACCTGAAGAAATTCTTTTTTGATGGATATTTTTAAAATATTTATTTATTTATTTGAGAGGCAGAGAGAGAGAGAGAGAGGTCTTCCATACACTGGTTCATTTCCCAGACGGCCACAACAGCCAGAGCTGTGCTGATCCGAAGCCAGGAGCCAGAAGCTTCTTCTGGGTCTCCCACGCTGGTGCAGGGGCCCAAGGACTTGAACCATCTTCTACTGCTTTCCCAGGCCACAGCAGGGAGCTGGATAGGAAGTAGAGCAGCAGGAACACAAATCAGCGCCCACATGGGATGCTGACACTGCAGGGCTTTAACCCACTGCACCACTGCGCTGGCCCCTGGACTTTATTTTATTGGACTATTTTTATTGTATGTGCTTTAGGCTAAAACCTAAGTTTTGTCAAATAAGAGAAATAGTCTATTCTTATTATCTAAGAGTTACACCAGTAATCAAGACATTTTATATGATAATACAGATAATACAGGCAGAATATGATTGTAGGCATCCCAGACCAGACTTGAGTTTAGATTAGGCATCAGGATTTATGGGGCTTTCCTAAACTTAACTTAACGTATCAACAGAACCCTATGGAGGATATTTAAAGATTATAGATGACAGGTGGGCCTAATGGCACAAGAGTTAAGATGCTTAGGAGGCCCATATCCTGTGTTAGAGTGTCTAGTTCAAGTTCTGGCTCCTTTGCTTCTAAGCCAGTTGCAAATGCATAGCCTGGGAGGCAGTTGATGATGGTTCAAGTACTTGATCCCCTGCCACCGGGAGACCAAGATAGAGTCATGGCCTCCTGATTTCTACCTGGCCCTGCCCTGTCTGTTGCAGGCATTTGGGAGTTCTGTCTCTCTAAGTTTCAAGGAAAATGAAAACTAATGATTTTATTAAAAAGGATTATACATATATGTGTAAAATACAATATTGAATCTAATGTTTGTTATTGTTTTAGCTTTGCCAACTAGCCAGCTATGTCAGTTTGAGAGATTTAATTTATCTTTCAGGTTCCTCCAATGTACATTAAAAAAAAAAAAAGGCCAGGACTACATACTTTCTACTTTTTCTATCCAAATTCAGTTAATAAGTAAAAGCTCTCAATTGATTCTTTGTAGAATTTAACATTAGTCAGAGTTTTCTTGTGTTAAAATTTTCCCAGTGAATGATGATGACATTAGTTGGACTTTGGATAGTTATGTGAGGATAAGATGACCAAAAAGAAAAAAAAAAAAGGTCAGTTGGAAATGTTTCAGTATGAAATATTGAAATCAAAGCAGAAGAAAGCCCATTTGGAAGATGAAACCATAGACTAATAGTTAATTAATCTATTTTTATAACTTATATTAGGATTCCTATCCTTTAGTGACTTGGAAAATCACTGGAAATTTTATCTCATTGACCTGCTTCATCTTAGCAATGGGTATAGAAATGCTATTTCTAGTTCTTTGAGTTCTCATGAACAACAACAAAAAAAGGATCTAAACATATTAAATATGATCATCTCTGTAAACTTTTGAAGTATTTCTTTTTCCATCACATTTAAAATAATTGCTTATCTACTTTGCAAGAAAATAAATTAAAAATTACTTTTAAGTTTTATACCTCAGTAGTAGTAGGTTGTTTTATTTGTTTTTACTTTGAAACAGCTATTGTTTTTCTAAATAGATTTTGCTTTCTTCCTTCCTTTTTAATTTTTTTCAAGGCTCCACTCAGGCCCATTGCTTGCTACTCGCCTGGCTGGTAGGTGTTTCTTTTCTCTCATTTCCCCCTTTTCTGGGCCTTGCCACTTTTCCCAGGGAGCCCCTGAGATGGAAGCCTCTAAATATATTTTTTTCCAAAAACAACTTTATTAAATCATAAATAATATTTAATAACTCAAACAATAAAGACAGCAACACAAAATTCGAAAGTTGAAAATATATATACTTTCTCATTTACAAATCCATCACTGGAGACATGAACATGCCTTAAGTTAAGGGGTCAAGACGCATGAACAGAAAATTTCAAAACAAAGTGCTTATAGAGATCTTGCCTTGTGTGAAATCAGGATTTTAAATTTTCAGCAAGCAACTTTTACATGAAAATAAGGGTTGTAGATGGAGTTGAATATAAATACAGCTAATTAGGCTCCAACAAATACATTTTCTATAATAGAACAACTCATTCTAAGATATATTATGATGAAAATAATAATAAAGTATTAATAGTAACACTAATATCTGCCTTCCTTTGAGCTTTTAATAATAGGCTCCATGACTCAGGACTCTGTGTACATTATGCCTTGCCTAGGAGTACATGTTTATATTAAATACAGAAAATATATATACAATTTTAAATTTGAGCCCATTTATAATGGTTGACTAGATCAGCTAAAACTTCATACTCTGAAATGGAAAATCAACCATTTTTTTAGACAAATAGAAATATCAAAGCATGGCTGATTTTAAAAAGCTGTTCCTTGTTACTTCCAGCACAGTCTATGACATTTTGCAAAATTCTCAAGTCAAATATGAGTTTCTCACCAAACTTCAAGACTTCTCCAAGGATGGCTTTCACCTATGACTTCCAAGACAGGCTTAAGGATCTTGGCCATGAAGCTGGCAACTCATTCTATTCCCTTCCCGACTACATTCTTCCAAGAGTAAAAAGCCCTATTTCCAGTCAAGAAAAGAACAGAGTAAACTTATTGGTCTCTCCTGCAATGTTAGTATAGTAATCATCAGGGTCAGTGCTAAGGATGAAAAAATATAAAGTTTACTACTTCCCTCTTATGCAGGCACTTTGAATTTTTATTTACACATTTTTTATTCTTTTGTGAACTAAAAAGCTGGTAAAAATAGGAAATACCGACAGATAATTTGAGCTATAGAGAAACTACTAAACCCTTTCTGAACATACTCCATCAAAGGAAGGTTATAATATTAATTTAAACTCTTATTTTGTATCCTGAAAACAGGACTAACCTCTAGCATACCAGAACAACAAGGGAGAAATAAAATGGTCTTAAACTTTCTTAAAGTATTTATCTTATTTAGGATCCTCAGAAGAACTCAGGGGTCTAGGAGGGTCTGACTAGAGAATGACAAGGAAGGATCATTACCTGGCCTTTGTCTAAATCAGATGGCAAGAGACAGACTCACTTCAGAAAGAACAGAAGGTATGTTATGAATAAGCAGCAAAAGGGAAGCCAAATAAGTGATTGGAGACAGAGGAGGTGATAGTTGTATACTGACTAGAACAGTGGCAACCATCATGCCCTGAAGGTAATTTAGGTCAAACAGAAATGTCAGAATTTGAAAAATGCAAAATGGATCTCTTGCCAAAGATCAAAGCAAATAAGAGGAGATGAGTTTCTACTTGGTTGTTGATATCTGGAAACACTTCCAAAAATAATGAATTGTATGGCTTCCATCCTCACAGCAGCCAGAGAAAGCTAAGTCAAATGACGGAAATACACATCAGTTTTGGAAGCCAGTGCTCCAGAGTGAATCCCATTTCAGCCTAATGAGAAAGAAATAGGAAGCAGTCCCACCAACGGAAGCAGATTAAAAGTCTTAAGGTTACTTTTGACTTTGTTTTCCTGTAGCCTTGACCTCAACATAAAATCGCTCCTCCATCTCTTTGACAGACTGGAACACACCCAACAGAAAGGTGTACAGAGAAGACACAAACACAAGGGAAAGCTGCTGAATCAGTTTCAACTTGCTACAGGCTCTGGTGAGACTGCACTTTGTTTCTGCCCAGACGCTTCAGCAGGCGGGATCTTGGAACCTTAGCATCACCTCCTGCCTTAGCTTGGTCGCTGTCCTTTCTTCTGGAAAGCTTCCCCTTCCTAGACTTTGAGAAGTCTGGGCAGAGACAGCTTAGGAAGCGGCCAAAGCAGAGTGGTGGTGATGCCAAGGATGTTGCCGCAGGAGAGGGCGCAGGTTCCTGAGCCACTGAGATCTCACACGGCTGGAGCTGACATTCTTGATCCATCACCACACAGGAACCTTCATCCTGCTGACTCCGTAATCTGTCCTGCAAGTAGAAAACATGAATGAGAAGCTCTCAACGCTAACACCACATACAAAAATGGTGTGACCAAGATTTTTGGTGGGTCTAAAAAATCTCAGTTCATCTCTCAAGATCCTCATCCCCAATTCCTCCCACTCCACGTAAGGAGTTATCATGACTTATCCTGTGGAAGACTGACAAGCCCAGGATTCTCCCCCCCCATGCGTCATTCTTGCCTTACTGGGAAGATCAGCAGCATCTTCCTGCATACTGAATATGGCTGGCTCTTTATCTGTAACCTCATCCTCTTCACTTTGTGGAGGTGCTAACAGTGTTGGAAGAATACGGGGACACTGGGCCTCCATTTGCACATTCCTCTTGCTCTTTCTCATTCTCTTCTTCCTTACGACCCTTCTACGATGCCCATGCTTCTTTGGAAGTGGATCTAGCCTTCTCCTCTGGCATGGAGAGAGGGCGGGATCTTGTGAAACCTCAGCCATATGACTCTCAGATGTTCCTCTAATAGCTCTGAGGATGAATCCAAACTTCTTTTCAGAGGGTCATTTTCCACAGGTGGACTTTATTCTCTGTATCTTGAATATTTAATGATATGTTCAAGTCATAAGTGATGTGTTTTGGGATGGAGATGGGAGATTCCAAACCTCTGTCACAGAGGAGATATTTTGGGGCCACTTTGCTGAGGTTCTCAGGTTGTTCTTGGCCTAGGGTATATCAGTTTCCTAAAAGGAGAGAGAAAATCATTGAAATAATTGGTCTACAAATAAATGAGTTCTTCCTAGTCACACATAAATGTTAGTTCACTAAGACTCTGCCAAATCCAGTGTAAATTCCTGAGTACAACAATATCTAACAAATTTTCAGAACAATATTTTCAAAGGAATAGAATAAATTAACAAGAGATGGGCATTTGTCACAGCAGTTAGAGAGCTGTTTGGTGCACCTGCATCCCTCATTGGAATGCCTGGGTTCAGCCGTGACTCTGCTCCTGATTCCAGCCTTCTGCTCATGCACATCCTAGGAGGCAGCAGGTGATGACTCAAGTACTTGGGTCCTTCACACACACACAGGAAACCCAGATTAGGTTCCTGGCTCCTGGTTCCCACCCGGCCCAGCCCTGGATGCTGGGGGCATTTGAGAAGTAGACCAGTAAATAGAAGACCATTCGCTCTCTCTCTCTCTCTCTCTCTCACACACACACACACACACACACTTATGTGTGTGTATGCATGTATAAACGTATATATATACAAACATATAATACACATACATATACATACATCTTTATTTGCATTTCAAATAAATAAATATTTTTAAGAGATAAAGGTAAGCAAGTTCTCTGTATGTACCAGAATCATCTGCAATGCTTACTAAAATGCAAATTTATGGACTTTATCCCAGACCTAAAATTAGAATCTCTAAGAATCTGTATTTTCCCTAGTGATTTTTATGCACTCTAAAATTTGGAACTATCACTTTAGAGACACAATGAATCCAGTATTCTACAGGGGCTTAGTAATGACTATTTTATTTCTTACGATTTATTTATTGGGGCAGGCACTGTGGCGTAGCAGGTAAAGCCACTGCCTACAGTGCCAGTATCCTATATGGGCTCCGGTTTGATTCCCAGCTGCTCCACTTCCTTTCTAGCTCTCTGCTACGGCCTGGGAAAGCAGTAGAAAACGGCACAAGTCCTTGGACCCCTGCACTCACATGGGAGACCCAGAAGAAGCCCTTGGCTCCTGGCTTCAGATCGGCACAGCTCCAGCCATTGTGGCCAACTGAGGAGCGAACCAGCGGATGGAAAACCTCTCTTTCTCTCTTTCTCTGCCTCTCCTTCTTTCTCAGTGTAATTCTGACTTTCAAATAAATAAATAAATCTTAAAAATTATTTATTTAATTGAAAGAGTTACAGAGAGGTAGAGAGAGAGAAAGAGGTAGAGAGGTAGAGGGGGGAGGGGAGAGAGAGAGAGAGAGAGAGGTCTTCCATCCCCAAATGGCCACAATGACTGGAGCTGGACTGATCCAAAGCCAGGAGCCGGAGCTTCTTCTATGTCTTCCATGTGGGTGCAGGGTCCCCAGCATTTGAGCCATCTTCTACTGCTTTCCCAGGCCATAGCAGAGAGCTGGATCAGAAGTGGAACAGCCAGGACTCAAACCAGCAACCATGTGGAATGCTGGCACTGCAGGTGGTGGCTTTACCCGCTACACCACAGAGCCAGCCATGATGACCATTCTTAAAAAATAAAATAAAATCCTAGCTTTCCTTATAGGTCTTCCCTAATCATATCAGCCCATAATAACTTTTTAATCATTATCACTTAATTTGACATGCAATACCTTATTACCTTCAACTATAATTTAACTTCTAAATATGTGACTATGTCTTCTAAGCAGATTATAAGCGGCTGAAAGGCAGGAATGCCATTAGACAAATTAGGCTCTACAGTACCTCACTAGTATTGAGTGCTTAAAAAAATTGAACAAATAAGTGGAAATAAAAACCAGGTTATGTTCTAGTGTACAATGGCCAATATAACATGAGGCTGTTCTGTAGGAAAAGTTCTAGAGGAACAAAGTGCAAGGAGGATGCAAGCCCTGGGACAACCTGGCCCAACTCTCTTATGCTACAGATGCAGAAGATGAGGTTCAAGTCAGAAAACGACTTGCCTGAAGACAAGCTCAGCAAAGTTTTTCTGCAAAGCAACAGACAGTACATTTTCAGCTCTTTGAGATATGTGGTCCCCTCACAACTATTCATCTCTACTTCATAACAAGAAAGCATTCACAGCAGCAGGTGTTTGCCCTGACAGTTAAGATGCCATTATTCCCACATCAGAGTGGCTTAATTTGGTATCCAGCTCCAGCGCTTGACTTCTGTTTCCTGCTAACACAGACTTTGAGAGGCAGCAGTAATAGCTCAAGTAATTAGGCTCCTTGCCCCAATGTGGGAGATCTGGATTGAGCTCCCGGCTCCTGGCTTCAGCCCAGCTGAATCTCAGTCATTGTAGGCATCTGGAGAGTGTACTAGCGGATATGAAATCAGTCTCCCTTCCCCCCTTCCTCCCTCCCTCCTTCCTTTCCTCCTTTCCGTCCTTCCTTCTTTTCCTTTCTATACTAACATGGAAAGTTTTATAATTGGGTTTAATCTCACACTCAGAAAAGTTCAGTAAAATCTTTGAGTGGGAAAAAAATGTATATGTTAATAAAAGAGAGAATGTAGGTTCAAGTCAGGGTGGTCCCTCCAGCTAAAACATTATAGAGGCAGCACCTATAACAACATCAACAACTGAATATCCAAAAGAGATTGGGACAGGATTGAAAAGAAGTCAACTTGACAGACTCAAGTCTCTAAAACATCTTTGTTTTTCCCCACCTTGGCAATTACTCTGAGCCAGGCCTGCATTATCCTGCAGTTTCACCTTCCCAAGGTTCTACTTCTGAGTCTGGCCTCTATTTTCTCTAACCTGTCCTCCATAAAGGAGCAAGAATGATTTCTCCAGAACAAACCTAACTGTGTCACTCCTCTGCCTAAAGCTCTGTCCCCTATTCTCCCAGCAAGATCACACATAGGTCCACTGTGGTCTGGTTCCGTGCCACCTGTCCAGTTTCAGCTCTACCACCCACAGTCAGATATCTTAAGATGTGGCAAAAACAGCCTGGTTGCCATTTCCTAAAAGCACCAAACTCCTTTTATCTGCAACGTGTCCCTTCCCCTCCTCATTATCTGGCCCCGCTATAATATCGCTTCTAAGAAGCCTTGGCTGGCTTCCTCAGGCAGGAAAACACTGGTTTCAATTGTCACATAATATTCTCTTTGTACAATAATCATCTCCCTTAATTGTAATAAGCTGTTTAGGTATCTTTCTCCTCACTGTGCTCAGAGCTCCCTGAGGGCAGGAACTATTGCTCATTACTTGATCCCTACCATCAAGTCAATGGAAAGAATTCAGTCTTCAAAATGAAGTCTTTATAGGCAGCCTAGAGCTTCCGGGTTCTAGAAGTCAACACCCTCTCCCTTTATTTGGGCCTCTCTCTGAATGAATGAACATACTGGAGTTTGAAAGACAAAGTTGAGCAGCTCTGGTTGGGAACTCTGAGTGAATAGTCCAGCTACTAATCAACCACTCAGAAAAGAGCTGCCTATCAGTTGGTATACACCACTCAGCTCGATGCTATCCCAGCGCCGTTCTCCCACTCACTTCTCCAGTAGAATCACAACAGGGAATGCTACCTAAGAAGGCCCTACAGTCATTCAGACCTCTGGCTCCCAGCAGGCTTCCTTCCTTCCTGCTCTACCACACTGCCCTGTCTTCCTAATGGACTCTCAGTTCCTCTTGATCATCCCTACCTCCCTGCCCTTTTTTCATGTAAAGCCTTCCCAAAATCTCAGTCATCCCTGAATTGCAAGTTTTAACCTCGAATCAGCTAACTTATCCCCATAGGGCACACACCCAACCTCACATTTTGACTGTCCCTTTTGGTGCCACTACTCCATGGAACCGCATCTGCAGGGACTAGGAAGGCCCACATGCAAGAATGCTGCTCAACACAACTGGACCTTCTGCCTGGCAAGAGGCAAAAGAGGTTTGCACCACGTGACCCTTACTGAATTTGGAACACATGATTCCCCTAGGTATCACCCATCAGGAACAACTAGGTATACAATGCTCTTACACACGAATTTACAAGTCACAATCTGAGCCTGTTAGTCTTCTGAACCCATTGCACTGCCATCTTCTGATTTTCTTCCCATTTTCATATATTACTTTCAGCAAAGCCAAGATAATTAAAGTCCTTGGATGCATTGGTTGCCTAAGCAGATTCAAACCCAACCTGGAAGCTCTAAAATAACAAACTCTTGAATGCTGAATTTTTGATTGATTTTGAATTGGAAACTAGAAAAAAATTTCACTCTTCCTTGTCAACAGTAAGGTGACTATCTTATTTTAAAAATGAGAAAGAAATGATTGGCATGAATGAACTAATTTTGCTTCTCAGTGACTCCTTAGAGAATTAAATAACTGAAGCATCAAACAACAATTTTCTTTGAAGATGACCTTTCACATTAAGTGAAAGCTGAAAAGCTAATCTCACTCAAAGGGAAAAAATGAATAATCTGTAACAGCAACTACTTACTCCTGAGTATACAGAAAAATACAGGCTAAAATATGACAATAAACAGCACAGAACACCACATTACAAATTAAGTGAACTTTCCATTTGCCATAAAATTGAGAACCTAATGTATATGAATCAGGTACTAGAATAGGAGTTCTTTGATATGATTACTAAAAAACTTAATCTGGCCGGTGCCATGGCTCACTTGGCTAATCCTCCACCTGCAGCGCCGGTACCCCAGTTCTCATCCCAGTTGGGGCGCAGGAGTCTGTCCTGGTTGCCCCTCTTCCAGTCCAGCTCTCTGCTGTGGCCCGGAAAGGTGGTGGAGGATGGCCCAGGTTCTTGGGCCCTGCAACCGCATGGGAGACCAGGAGGAAGTACTTGGCTCTTGGCTTCAGATCAGTGCAGCACACCAGCTGTGGCAACCATTTGGGGGATGAACCAACGGAAGGAAAACCTTTCTCTGTCTCTCTCTCTCTCTCACTGTCTATCTCTGCCTGTCAAAAAAAAAAAAAACTTAATCAGAACACCATAACTTAAATCAGTTGTTTCCTCATCTTAGCAAGCATCTTTTTTTAAAAAAAAATGTATTTATTATTTA